TATATATTAGTTTGATGAGAAAATCATGCATAGAATAAAACAATTTTTGGCTTGCTCTAACTGTCACAGATGTCCTGGCGCTGCTTCTCACAGACACACTCATCTTCCTTCAAGAAAAAGACCAGAAGTATACATTTGCTGTTGTGGTAAGGACACGGTTTTTGGCTGTAAACCTTCTTAAAGCTGTGCCTCTGATAACCTCTTCACTTCACCAACCACGTTCCTCCACTTTCACTGCGTCTCAGGACCAGAAACCTCCCGTCATCCCTCTGCAGAAGTTAATAGTTCGGGAAGTGGCGAATGAAGAGAGGGGGATGTTTCTCATCAGCGCCTCGTCTGCGGGGCCTGAGATGTACGAGGTTCACACTTCATCCAAAGAGGAGCGGAACACCTGGATGAGGCTCATCAGAGAGGCTGTAGAAAGGTGGGTTTATGAATGTGATTCATGTGTTGCTTAGGAAGGAAAAAATAAACATTGGAAGATGAACATTTAAATGTTGTTGGACTGATACTCTTTCGGCTGCATAGCTGCCCGGAGGAACAAGAGGAATGCTCGAGTGAATCTGAAGAAGAGAAACAAGCTGCTGAGGCTCGTTTTCAGAAAATCCTGAGGTTACAAGGTATGGATAAATCCACGGCAGTCCTTTCTGATCTTGATTTAAAGGTGCAATATTATGTGTTTCTCAGGCATATATTTAAATACTATATCATAAAAAAGTATCTATGTCACCTTTAGYTGTTATTAAAATGCTGTTTTTATGTTTAAATAGAAAATAAAATTATCTTCTCATCACTTCCTCTTTCAAACACCTTGAAATTGGCCTCTGTCTCTGAACCTCTGTTACGTCCCCTGGCTTGGTCTAGGAGTTTAAAGGGACTAACATAAATCTAGACAATGAAGGAGGAGTCAAAATGGCATTTAAGATGTTTATTTTCTGCCATGTTTTGAGTTTCTTTTCTATAAAGACTGATTCAAAGACTTCAAGGAGAGCTCAGGCCAAAATAACAAACAAAACAACCCTGAAATAAAATTAAAATTTAAACTTACCTAACCCCAATGAAAATAAAATATCCAAACCTAAAATTACCTTACCTAATAAGCACATAAACAGGAGAAAACTAAGGTTAAACAAAAGGCAGCTCTCTCCTACAAAATCAGCCTGACCAAGTTTACATTAGTTTGTAAAATAAAGAACCCTTGGCTGAAACAACAGTCAATGGTGTATGGCAGTCAAGTGGCCCATAGGCGCAGGAGTGCAGCTTCACAGCCAATAAATAGGGCCCAGCTGATGCTCACGGGGGAGG